CCGTGGGTACCGCCCCGCCGCGCACGGCCCTGTGGGGGCACCCAGCCCGCCCCCGCGGGGCGGTCCGCGGCGGGGCGGGACACCCCGCGGTCGGGTGCTCGGGGGTCCCTCTGCTCCTTCCCCGCCGTGTTCTCCACGGGGGAAGCGGGCGCGAGGGCCGCAGAGAGATGCCGCGCGTCTTGCTGCCACCTCTCGGGTACCGCTTCTCATCGACCCAGCGGTGCTGTCATCTGTTCAGGTGCCTCACAGGTTCTACAGGTTTGAGTGTGGGCCGATTCGTGTGATGCTGATGATTTCACTTGAGGCTCTTTGTATTCCCGTGGCTATGTGCCCGAAAACTTGGCACAAAGCAGGGGTCTTATAAGAAGGAGAATTTGGTGACAAGCGAGGGTCTCACCTTGGGATGTGCAAGGGCCCATCTAGCTAGCAGCCTTGAAGCAGGCCCTGACACGCATTAGAGAAGGCAGGAAAAGCATAGGAAGAGCCAGAGACCATTCTTCTTGTCTCAAAATATGCAAATCAGCCACCAAGAGGGGACCAGCCCAAGTGAAGCACAGTGCCAGGCTGGGGCCTGGCAAAAAGCAGCTCTGGGCACTGCTGGACAGTCAGCACTGTCAAGATGATCAGGGTAGCCTGGAGAAGGCAGGGCACACATTTGTCTTGTCCTGGTGCAAAAGACAGCAGTGGAGCAGAAGTACAAGGATTCAGAAATTCACCCACGCCTTTTCATTTGGCTTTTCCGAGGTGCATCCTTCAGCATAAAACTGGTGTCAGTTCTCCAACGGTTTCATCCAATCACCTGTCTAGGGTTCACAGCCATCACAAGGCACAGTAACATGCTTGCATTAACTCTACCTGTCCTGACCACTACCTTCTTCTCCTTCTCATCCTCATTCTCCTGCCTGAACCATGACACTGCTGCTGCAGGCAGCCACAAACCACCCTCTTCCACTTTCCCATGTGGCTTTCCTCTGCCCTGTGCCGAGCTGTCGTTGTGCCACTCCGTGTGTCCACTCGGAAGCTCCCGGCTCACTTTCTGTTTATCCTTTGACAAATCATACAGTCTCTCATTACCATTTTAGCAATTTTGAATATTCCAATACATACATATATTTGCATGAAATGGTCGCAAAGTGCAGCGGACAGTGGGGGACACTCTCCTGTTCCTCGGGAGGTCGGGGGGGTGGCTAAGGCTTTTGGCCTTACTTGGGTGAGACACTTGGACAGTGGTGGCAGAAAGGAGTCAGCTTGGTCGGAGGTTAAGTCCAGGTTTATTGAGGAGAGCTACAGTGCAACACAGGATCAGTGGGATGAGGCAGACCCTGACAGAGCATATGAAGCAGGCTTCTAGCCTGGCACATCCCAGTTTGCCTGTAGGGTGTTTAGTCCCACTGTGTTCCCCATCTCCTCCGGAGAGACGGCAGGGACTATGAGGAACACAAGGGGAAAATTCAAAGCAAGTGACAGGCTCAGATTCCAAGTGAACCTTGCTGCATCTCTACTAGAAAAAAAGATAACTCCAAGACAGGAGCTCATGCTATGCAACCCTCCATACATGGCTTAGAGAGCTCCCTGGTGTGGTTTTGGCTCATGCCAACTAGCACTCTCCCAGCCAATACCCAGGTCTGTAACAAGTTATGGCTTGTGCCAGGGGCTGTCCCTAGATGGCCATTTGGATGTGCCCATGTGGATGTGGGACACATCATGCAGCTGGGATTAGAGAAAGGGGCCCGTCATTGCCTTGGCTTCTTTTTAGCACGATAGATGTACTGCGAGGTGCTGGCAGATGAACTGTGAAGAGACAGGGCTACAAAAAAGTATCAGTGACAGTGTAGAAATGAGGCAAGTGTTCTGCAAAACCATTTCCCACTTCATTCTGTCCCATTTCTTCACTCCCATTTTATTTATTGTCTTTTCACTCCTCCTGTGTATCCTCTGGCTTCACTGACACCCTCCTGACCACTACCCTCCCTTTTCATCAGCTGCTTTCTGCACTGGAGCATCCCCCCTCCTCCTGTCCCTTTGCCTTCTCTTTTCTGATGCCTCACTTTTGTTGCTTCTGCTCCCCTTTGCCAGTCCCATCCTTTCTGCTCTGTACTTAGCATTTTGGCTATTTTTTTCTTGCCATGACCCAGTTCCTTCCGGAGCCTTATCATCACTTTTTTGTTTCCTTCTGCCCCTTTTGTGTCCTATTCACTTATTCCATGCTCCTGCTGGTTATCTCCAATCAGCTGCCCAGCTCCAGTTTCTCCTCCATCAACTTCTGCCCAACCCTAGCCCCGCAGGCTCTTTCTTTTCTCTCCTGCTGTATTTCATTGTCCTGTTTTTCTTTTCTGATATTGTTCCCGCTTCCCACATCCCCTCCTTGTGGTCCCAAATGCTGCTGCTGCATGGCTGCCCTTTCCCACTCTCACTCTGCTGGTTTCCAGGGTCCCCTCTGGTGCTCCCGGAGTGTCTGTTCCCTTCCTGCCTTTGTCTCTTGGTCTGTCTGTCCTCTTCCCTCTTTGTTCTCAGCTTTTTCCTCCCTTGGCCTCCTCCTCTCCCAAGGGGAGGTAGTTTCATGCTAATGCAAAGCTGCAAGGTCTCAAGAGCAACTTCCATCAGCCCGATTTAATGTCTACCTGCTGCTTTTGCATGTTTTAACGCTTTCTCCAAAATTGACTTGGATGGCTGCTTTGCACTGTCACTTCTTTACCAGGGGCCTGACTTGAAGCCCTCTGCAGCCAACAGGGCCTTTCCTCTGGCTCTTGTGACCTTTCAGGCAGTGTGGAGGCTGAGGCCCTGCTGAGGCAGATGCCCCCCATAGCACCCCAACACTGTGGCTTAGCAGGTGAGAGTGCACACAGGTAGCAGTAACAGCCATAAATCGGCAGTGTTGTTTCCAGCCTGTTCCTCAAAGCTTTAGGTTGCTCAGGGTTGTCCCCGTGCCGTTCTGGAATACAATGCCATTGTTCAATACAGCTAATTGCCAAGACAGTCACTTAAGGGAATGGCAGAGCACGGAACTGGGGGGGTGTAACAATTGTGGCGCCTCATGGAGCGACAGTCAGGTCACTGAGAGGGACTTGAATATACTGAGCCATCTTAAGAAGCTTTGGTTTTGATTGTCCCTGAGAAAACTGTGTGGAATTGGACCTGAGAACTGCAGGCAGGAGCGGGCACTTTGTGGGGCAGCATGAGAATGAATCAGCGCCTGTGAGACACTTGGGATCCCTGCCTCAGTGCATGGCAAAAAAGAGTGAAATAATGGCAGCAACAATAAAAAGAGTAAAATAATAGCAGGCACCAGAAAAGAAGAATAGTGTTTTAAAAACTTGTTTCCTTTCTGGTTTTCTCAACAATAAAAGTTGGCCAGATTTCAGTTTATAATTGCATTATACATATTTTGTAGCATTTTTTTAAAAATTTCAAATATGTTTCTCAGAACTAAAGCAACTTGGAGACTGCAAAAATACAGTTTTAAAACTAGTTTCATTAATTTGCTTGCACTAGCGCACATCCCATCTTTCACATTTTTTCTTTCTGTGAATTTGGTATTCTGAGGAATAGTATAAACGAATGGAAACAAATTTCAAAGTCAGGAAGCAGTCCAAATCAAATGCAATTTCTTTAATCTAGAAGTTTAATGGACATTTCTCTTGTTATAACCATAACATGAGCAGCCATCTTGAGGAAGAATGACAGAGGTTAAAATTCATCCCTGCAAAGTGGTCAAGCCAAGACATAAGCATCACTCATTTCACCTCTGGTTTGTGGTCATTTGTAAGACTTACTGTGGTATGTAAGGGAGATGAGTGCAGAGCTGATCAGTTTGTAGACATTCCTCCTTAGTATTTTTTTTTCCCATCTAGGTTGATGCTTGTTTTAACATGAACAATCTGTTGTAGGATTTTTATTTCTGCGAACCAAAATAATTTTTTATTAGGATGACTAGAAAATGTACCCCCTCAAACTATGGATTTTTCCCCACTTTAGCACAACAGGCTCCAAAAAGGCTGTGGTTGCACCACATAATCAGGGGGCAGGGATTCCTACCAGCACAGCAGTTAGCACATTTTCCAAAATGCCCATGTAGTCCATATGTGCTGATTTTCAAAACACTAGCTTCCACAAGCCTTGGCTTTGAAAATGGGACTTTTTTTCAAAAACCCTGATTCTGAGGCATTAAATTCTTACTCTTTTAGCCTCAACATTTTTAGCACCTCTTATCTTTTCTGCAGTGCCCCTGAAAAGGTTGGTTTTCAGTGCTTCAGACTGGTAGGAATATTTATTTTTCAGTAGCTATATTTTGGCCCAGGAGTTGTTTGCCCTTCCCCACATGGTTCTTCCCTTATGGATAATGGGCCATCTCCTCTCCCTGCCTCCCTCCTGGCTAGGCTGCCCTGCTCTTGGCTGAGAGTATCTTCTGAGATGGAGCACCAAACTCCTACTCTGCTGCCCGCATTCTGGACCGTCACATTAGCAATTTTTTTTTTTTCCTTAACACAGAAAACCATCCTTTTTTTCCTAAACATATTTATTTCAGCATGCCCCATCTCCAAACCATCAACATAAACCTCAAAAGTCTAATCAGATCAAGATTTTTAACTGCCCAAACTATGGTGTGTGAACTAACAGCAGACAAAGGAGCATACCCAAATAAATAGGGTTGCTTTAGGAGTCTGAAGTACCTCCTGCATTGTGGTCCTCCAAAGAAAGTCCTGTTTCACTTTCCAAGCATCCTGCAAGGGATCTGCACCTTTCGCAGCGCCCCACAGCCCTCAGAGCTCTTCCAGATGAGTCCCCCCATGTTCTGGCTCAGGGGAGGCTTGTGCAGCCCCACAGCATGGGAACAGGCTGTCCCATTTCTCTTCCTTTTGCTCCTGCTTTTGGCGGTTAGTCTTTCACAAGAAAAGT